GAGAAAAATGTGTTGCGTTATATATGATGATGTGCCACACCATCTGCAACCCTTTCTCAAAATCTTAGATCCACCCGTGGTCCACAAAATTCAGACCCAAGTCTGATAATAAGGTTTCCCTCAGGAAAGGAGGAGGAAGAATTGTGTAGGTCACTTTAAAAAAAACCCAAAACAGTAGACTTTCAAGAATTGTAAAATAAAATGAAAATGTCTTTAATAATATAAGCCTTTGTATTAACCATCCAAAGTTCCTAGTGAATTCAGTTGCTCAGCAGGATCATCCCTATCAAATTTAGTCAGATTATTCAAGGGAAATGTTGAGATCTCAGTTAAACATGCTTATTTTTCTGTTAATCTAGCTGCTGTTGATTCATCTGTACCAAAGAGTTTGCATACTAGCATTCAATGTGAGTATAATTTTTATTCTGCTTTCAAAATATGTTTGGTTTGGAAACATTTGTCTTGGATAATCTTATTTTGTTTTGTGATGCTGATGGTGTTTTGAAAAGCCACTCACACAACTAAAGTTTGCATCATTCCAAGTGTGGTCAAGATGATAACATAACTGTGTCAATTGTATGCTACATGCTTGTGCTGATATGTGCTAAATCTCAGGCCCTGGGATTTTGCCTTGTTTGTAGTCCACATATTTTGTTTGGGATATAATTTTGTTTTGCTTGATTTTCCTGTCTAAACCCAGAAACTTTAGTTCACATACATGGAGTACTAATCACGAACCTTGTGTATTCCTTGGTAATCAGTACTGGTCATAAGGCAGATAAATCATCAAAACCTGCTCTAGCCTTTAACTTGCCTGATGCCCAGATTTTCATTTCTGCCTTTGCTGTTCCATGAATTATTGATTGGGTGGGTTTTTTTGTTTTGTTTTGTTTTCTGAAGCAGAGGATTGTTGGTTTGCATCCTAACGCCATCTGTTGGCAGAATATGGAGTATCAATGGAATAGGGAATACAGGCAGATCTTGTTCCACTCTCTTCCCTCCCCCCCCCCCCCCAAAAAAAAAAAAAGCCTGGTGGCAAGTAGGTAGCACAAGATTCACAAACCACCCCTGGAGACAATCTATTATCTGGCAAATGGAAGCAAGACTTATATTCACGAACCTTGGAAAGCATTCCATTCCTTCTGCATTTGTTGGTTGTATAGATTAGAAATATACATGTCCTTTGTATAGACAGTTGCCGTACTGTAAAATCAAGGTAAAAATTGCCAAAAAAAAGAGAAAAGAATCGCTTTTCCACAATGCTCTTAGGTACCTAAACTTGGGCATGACAGTGAGAAGGATGTAACAAACTTCAAAGAAGAGAAGTACAAATATACAAGCCTGTAGGATAGTGCACATACTGTAGGGATGCACTTCTTACAATCCAAACAAGGTTCAGAGTGTGCTCTTGAATGCAGAAGCACAAGAGAGCCAGTGAAGGGTCAGAGCTGAACATCGAAATTCTCTTCCTTGTTTGGGATGCTTGTTTCTCCCATTAACCACTTTACAAAAATAGTTCTGAACTAATGGAACAAAATAATACAGAAACAGAGTTGCAAGCATAAGCATTAGTGTTTGGGAGAAAATGGTACTCTGGGGGAGAGAAGATTTTCTATAACCTACCTGATTCCTGAATTTCTTTCTACACACAACAAATGTTAATGGCCACCCCACCCCCTCCTTCATAGGTTTTGATCTTTCAGGAATCAGCCTATTTTCTTCTGCTAATTGTTTGTCTGCTGCCCCTGGGATTTTCCTTCCCCCCTTCAACTTCACAGCTCTGTTCTCTTAACATTCACTGTGCCTGCTTCCTTCCTGACCCCTGATGAAGAATGCCTTGCATTTGAAAGCGTGTCTGATTTTATTCCAGCCATGCAATTGGTCCAAAAGAAGATAGCACCCCCCAAAAAATCCTTGCCTTTTTCATTTGTTTAGAAAGGTCAAGAGGACAGAATGTATTTGACTACTTGCAGAGGGTTTATTTTACAGTTTTATATTCTGTATGGCTGGTATTACCAGAGATGCAGCAGCACAGCTCTGAGCCTAGGGCAGCTACATGGTGCCCCAGGCAGTGCCAGCTCCCACTGTACCAATTACAGCCATGCAGTCAGCTGCTACTACAACAACAGTTGCTTTTGCACTCCACCAAAAAAGGCAGTGCCCAGACTGCTGCTCAGCTGGGCTCCCTTTAGTTACACTACTGGGTATTACTATATATTTAAAGTTCTCAACCAAGAACAAAGTGCAACACACTGAACATACATGTAAGTAAGAAACCATCTCTGCTATGAAAATCTTCTAGTCCAGGGCTGGCTTCTAGTCAGGTCTAGTCCAACTTTGTTGTGGTGGTCAGGGCGGGGTGCAGATGGTGCCAACATACAGCCTCTATACCCCTCCCCAAGATCCCCCCTGGGTTCTGCTGACAGCACATAGTCTCCTCTGCCAGTGGCAGCACATGGACCACTGCTCCCTATCGCATGGGCTGCATAGGCAGTGCATAAAACTTCGCCCCCCTTCCCCACCAACCATGCAGCAATAGGAGAGGCAGTCAGTGGGGTCACATGCTGGCTTCTTGGGCTGCTAGCTAGACAGCCCTGTTCTAGTCAATACAGACAAAGCAGAAGGCTAGAAAATAAGGATATTATCTCAGTTTTGCTGGTGGGAAACTGACATCCAGAGGCCCAGATCTTGAAATGTTCTTAAAGTCGCCTGTCTCTATAAACAGGCTAAGACTGTAAGCTGAAGCCCTGAAGGACCTGAAGTGAGATGCTTAGATTAGTTGGGGGAACACCCCTTTCACTAGTGGGGTCTGCTCCTGTAAGCTGTCTGAGCATGCCCAATACCTGGTACCTGCCAGGCGCCAGCATCAGAAACACTTTGGTCAGAGCCTGCACAAAGATGGTGGGAGAGCAGCTAAGTGTAGGGCAAATGAATGGGAGTAAAGGAGAGAGAAAAGGAAAGGGGGAGAGATGTAGTAGCATGCCTTTACAGGGATGTGCACTTGGAACATTGGAATAGGGGATCAGGGGGACTCCTACAGTGCTGCAAGGCAATTAGATCAGAAATCTTAGCTGGGAAAGTCCCATTAGACTCAGAGGAGCAGTTTACTCTCCCAACAGTGCCAGCACAGCTCCAATGATAAACAAGCAAGAAAAAACATCCCCTACCTGGAATACTATTGATCTTAGGGTACTGTGCATCCCCAAGAGTAAGAGAAAGTCAGTCCTTGTGTTCCCCTGAGCCCAGGAACTGCAATTCTATCTGACCATCACATGGACTGTCCAAGGGCATGTAGGAGTGCTCCTTGTGTATTCTCACAGCACAACACAGTTGTATAAGGGATAGCCAGAATCTTGCACTGGCTAATTAATCCGCAGTCCAGCCCTTGCTGTGTGCTTTAGGTCTTCACGGGAAGTAAAAGTCCTAGAGAAAGGAGAACTTGGAAAATGCTACTGGGAGGGCATGGGGAGAAAAAAGGCACCAATATTCCCAGGCTTGTTCTAGGGCTACATCTTCATCTGCATGGCTCAACTATTGATTCAGGGCAGCTGAACTACTCTCCCAAGAGACACTGTTTTTAAGAAAAGAAAATCTTTTAAGTGGCCCTGACTTTCCCTAGTCTGTTATCTTCCCATATAGTGGAGAGGTGACAAAGGGACCAAGGAAGGATTTAGGCAACTACAGGTCAGACTACTACTCCCAAAATGGAATCCAGGACTGGCATCAGGGCTAAGGACAGACATTACACACAAACCAGTTTAAGTGATCAGAAACTGGTTTAAACCTGTAGCAGAACAGATGTTCAGTGCACATTAACGTGTTTGAAAATGACTGAAACCAGTTTGAGATAAACCTGATTGAATGTAGGATCAGACTTAACTGATTTGGCTCCAACCAGTTTATGCAATGTCTGTCCCAGATTCCTTCCTGGTTTAAGATAAACCAGACACCCCCAGCATCCCAGCATGCTCTCTGGGCTGGGCAGGGCTCTCTGCTCCACAGCAGGGCTTGCCCCTCCCATCTGCTCCCTGACTGGAGCTCCAGAGACTGCGGGCTGCCCCCCACTCCTCTTCACCACTCCCTGCTAAGCAGGAATTCCCCCCTTCCCTCTGCCTTGCTGAGAAGGTTTTTCTGTATTAGCTAGCAAACCACATGGTGGGTTGGTGCCCAGGGCCGTCACCGCACTTGCCCCCCAACACCCCCCCCCCCCCCGCAATGGCACTACTAGTAGCACAGGCATTCAAGGAGAGGGAAAGACTTGGGTCCTGGTTCCTACTCCCAAGACTGCTTCTGTAAGGGTGCTGCTAACAGACACCCTTCTCCTCCCCAATTGAGAACTAACACAGTGGAGGCACTAAGGGATTGATTTGCAAATCATTCTTGCTGTAGAAAATGTCATGGATACAAAAGTAGACCTCTACTCAGCATTGGCAACGTGTAGATGCACCCCCTGAGCTTGGCAGTGCATCCCCTGCAAAAAGTGCCATCAACGCTGCTGGCAGCGCCTGTGAGCAGTTGCCGCTTGCCACCCCCCCCCCCACCAACACCATCTGCGGGTGGTCCCTGATTGTCGCTGGGCAACACTGGTGTTGTCTGCAGGTGGTCACCACCACCCCCCCTGCCGACACATCTGTGGCTGCCTGCAGGAGCTTCCCGCTTGGCCTGCCCCTGCTGCCGACATCACCCACAGGCAGTTGCCATGCCCCCCCCAGCCTCCAGGGGCATGCAGTGTTCTTGCTACTAAGCATTAATATTTGGAAAGGTGGAGAATAAATGAGGGATGTTTTGCAAGGCTGTTAGTGTGATAGGAGGACACAAGTAAATCTCTGCCCTGGAGAAGGATTAGTATGTTTTCTTCTTTCCATTAAAAAAAATGAGACGTCTTTTTTTCCTGTTAATGATATTACACTAAATACGCATTATATCCTTTTAAATCATTGAAGACTATCATAATAGAAAAGTGTTTCAATAAATACACAACCTGCTAGAACACTACTCACTCTCCATAATTGTTTGCCTTCTTCTAAATCTATGATCCTGTAAGTACCCTTTTGCTTTGCAAATTCATGATCTGTATTGGATATCACCTGCTTCGTAGATGACCTGCAAGAAGGAAATTCAGGTTATTGGTTATTCAACAATAAATCACATATATACACAAGTCTATTAAAAAGACAAGCTTAAACAGCTGGGGAGATTAATTTAAATCCATAGTCTGAAAAGGTGGAACAAATACTGTATATCAGTCCTTTGTTTCTTATAAAAATGAATACACTATAGATAATTATCTTGTACATGATTATTTGAGAATCTGAAAATGCCCTGTTTTATAAGATAGTTGTACATTCACTTATTAAATTAAAGAATATATAGACAGAGAAAGACAAGTACTAAAACTAGATTATAGGGCTTTATGCTGGAAGCTTTCAGGTGTTAGACATAGTTTGAGTCTGATGCATGAATAACTGTGTAGTAGAGTTTCTAAATAAGGGCTCCATTTTAAGTGAATCTGCCACCAATGAAAATTTGTAGTGTCAAAACAGTGCAATACTGCCTGTGTTTCTGTTTGTCACCATTTTAAAAGATCAACATAGTGGCATCCAAAACAAAATGTTCATAATACATCTTCCAGTATATCAGACCTTTCTGTATTTTCAGCACAGGCTTGTAACAGCTTCTTAGACTATTTATGAGATTATACCGTCTGAGGCAAGTGCCAGCAAAAGCAAAATGGTTATGTACAGCAGGGACTTTGATACATAACTTAACGATGCAGAAGAAAGCCAGCGGCACATGGTAATTTCCAGTACATGATAATAGAAACCCTTTATAAGAGATATGAATGAGCAGATATAGACCCAAAGTTTTCTACTTGGCAAACTTGTAAAGATTGAACAAAATATTGTTCAAGAGACCCTTCACTGTAGTGCTGTTGGGCTCAGGCATGCCCTTGCTGGTGCAGCTGGCATTTTCATCTTGATGTTGGGAAGCAAGAATCTAATTCTCTAGAATCTGGTTTATTGTATTCTTTGGTCAGGGAAATCTGAAAAGGGATTTCATGGTACTTAGTGCCTTAGTTCTTTAAAGCTGTATTCTGAATGAAATGATTTTTATGCTAGATGCATAGATAGACATACCAGGTCATAAGAAATATATCTAAGGATGAATGATAACTTATTAAGGGGCATGGGTAGGTAAGAAGACATGGTACAACTGAGGGTATATTGGGCCAGTTTCTAAGGCAAGAGCAGAGTTAATAATGTATCTTCTTCTTGTATCATCTACTCAGCAGTGATCAGCTCAGGTCAGGCAATAAGGATACCTCATTACTCAGCCTAGTAAGAGCTACCTTTCAAATCTCTTCCTGAGTCAGATGGCAGGCATCACAGAAAAGGAGACGGGTGGCCAACAAAACAGTGTTTGGGTATAAGTCTTTGTCATAAGTTTCTTTCTCTCCTATTAACCTGGGTAAGCCAGTATCATGTTTCTTTCTCTCCTATTAACCTGGGTAAGCCAGTGCCTAGCTCTAAATTCTCCTCAAGCATTGGAAAACACAATGGGAGGGAATGTGGACGCAGGCTCTGCGATTCCGGAGCTCCCTGAAGCTGCAGATCGGTGAGGGACAGGGGCGGAGCCTCTCTCAGCGAGTCTTTGACTCTCAGGGGCGGAGCGTCTCTCAGCGAGACGCGGGCTGCTCAAATAGCAGCTGGGAGAGCAGCTAAGTGGCCAGTGGGGGAAGGGGGAGATGCCAGCCAGGAGACATAAGGAGCTGAAGAGAGGATCACTGGGCTGGAGAGCAGGCAAGAGGAGTGGAGCAGTAACCGGAGGGTTCTGGCAGGGCAGCGTGGAAAAAACCCCAAGCCTGGGGAGACAAGAGACGCCCGGGAGCGACGCCGCAGCCCCACCAGAGAATACAGGTACGGCAGCTGGGGAAGGCGGCAGGGAGCTACTAGCTCTCACAAGCAGCTTGGCGGGGAGAAAAGAGCAGCCCGGCATGGGAACTGCGCGCCCTTCCAGCTCAGGAGGAGCAAGAGAACGACCCCAGGTCAGCAGAGATCCGGAGGTGGTCATGTTGGGAAGAAGGATCAGGGAGGGGCACAGGGAAGCTGCCCAGCCCCATAATCACTAGGAAGGAAGGGACGAGCAAGTCCCCTTCATCCTTTCTCCTTTGTTTCGAGTAACAAGTGGGCACTGGGAGACAGTATCCCAGGGGTCCGTCGGCAGATGCCGGATGCTTTCTGTTAGATTTATGTGAAGTCCTACTCATCCCTAAGGCAGGGCAGGTTCATGTACCCAAGTCGGCCTGAAGCTGAGGAATCAGCTGTGGGAGGAAGATTGTACTGGCTGAGAAGGCCCGACCTATCCCAGGGCAGGTAATCTGGATGAAAGGAGATATCATCCAGAGGAAGACCTGCAGAGTGCAGCGTTTGTCCAGGCCATGGACGTGGTAAGGGTGGGGTAAAGGGGAGGTTTGGAGCCCCACGAAGAAAAGACTGGGGGTCAAGACCTCTTCACTTTTGGGGGCCACCTGAAGGGAACTGCCTCCCCAACAAGGAGCATCAAAGACATGGCAGATGAGTAGGAGCAGCACTCATACCATCTAGGTGGCACCTGAGCCCAACTCTCACCCTGAAGTTGCTCAGGAGCGAGGCACCTATCAAGATGAGGCCGAAGCCCTACAACACCTACCAGCGACACAATGGTGTGTTCTGGTCCAGAGAAAACCATTACTTCTACTCCGAATCAGAAGGCTTTGTGATACCAGCTCTGTTTTCAGCAATCAGACTGACAGGAGCACTGCATGGTCAGTCAGTCTGATAAAGCCTTGCTGTAGTAGGACAGTTCTACACTGAGCAGGTCCCACCAGCTTATTACGCTCATGACAGAATTTCCAGGGGGGAAGCCAAGGTAAAGGAGAACTCTTGGGAAGAGTCCCAGCTCCATCAAATAGAATTACTAGATCAGAACAGTTTCCCTTTTTCTTTTTTGTTGAGCAAGGATTTAGTTGCCAAACTAAAATTCATACTGGCAGAATGACTTACTAATCTTAATGTATATTGCACAGTTCCTATATCCTTCTCCTAGTACAAACAGTATATGTGATTTAAGAGGTATAGCATAAAGAATCTAAACATTAACACACTTCACATAAAGTAAAGTAAGTGGAATTATGGGCAAACAATATATCACATTTAGTCAACTAGAAGATGACCCTGATTATAAGCCCCTCCCCCCCCGATTAATTAGATTATGTATATGGAAAATGTATACATTTTTTATAATTTTCCAGGTATAGAATCTAATTATTGGAGATTTGCCTTGAATTTGTCCCCCTTCACTGCTACAGCAGGGATAATAAATCTGGTGGGGGGCGGGGGGGGAGAGCAGGTAGCCCCTTTGCTCTCTGCTCTCCCTCAAACTTTTTCACCTGGTAACTCCTTCCCCCTCTCCTTACTATCTGACTCTGCTCTCCTTGTGCACGTGGAAGTAAGGAGCACATCTGAAAACAATAACCTTGGAATTAAACAAGGCTGTGGCAATTGGCACACACACACACTTAGTTCATCCAGAATTGATGCATATTACCTTTTTTTGAAACTGCTGCAAGTTTTAACATAGGTGCTCCATAAACAGTTTTAAGCAGCACTTTGGCAACTGTTCCTATGTAGTAGAATTTTTATTTTTAATTTTGTGTTTTGGGCCAAATCATCTCCAAAATCTATTGACTGAGCACAGCTCAATCAAAGCCTATGTAGTTCTACCACCAGCAAGTTTCCTACCTCCCAGACTCTTCAACCTGGGGTTTCAGATACTCACAAATCCATGGCACACATCCTATATACAAGCCCCAAGCCCGGATACCTTGGAGTTCAAATGCCCCCTAGTTTTGCTTGCCTCTAGCCAAAAGGCCAAAGGAGCAAGCTGGAGAGAAAGCTTGAGAACAATTTCCCATCACTATAAATTGTGTAGCCGAGATTTGTTTGGGGTTTTTTTGCATATATATTGTCCTGTGGGTCACCTGACAGTCCAAATCATATCATTGCGATTTCTTCATACACATTCCTATCACAGTATCTGCACCACACTTCCGTGTGTCCATGTGCTTGTGTGTCCATCACCATCACCCTTGCCCAACACAAAAGCATGCAACCTTTCCCCTAAACCCTGAGCGTACCCGCACCCCTTCCTCTCCCCCAGTAACCCCCTCCTCTACCCATCTATTTCTTTCCCAGTCCTTTCAGTCATCACTGTTGTTATTGTTTTCCTCTCTTTCATCATCTCCACTGCCATCATCATCATTGTTGCTCTCTTCAGGGGTCCCACCCCTAAACAGTCTGTGCCAGTCCATCCTCCTCCAAATTATCCCTACCATCTCCTCCCCAATGTCTTCCGCTACTTTCTTATAGTACCCTTGCATCTTTCTCAGTCCCATTCTGACACAGGCCTCTATTGAGAGGCTTGTGCGCCCATATATGAGCAGGTTCCTGGACTTCGAATTCATTTTCTGCTTTAGAAATGCCATATGGTCAAAGCAGGGCATCAGGGTCCCCTTCTGTTTGGACAGGTGCCCAAAGAGCACCGCTTCTCTGGTCAGGGTTTGAACTTCTGTCACCATCTTGAGAAGTATAAACACTTTCTTCTACACCCCTTTGGCAAAAAGACAGTACCATAGGAGAGGGTCAGTTGTCTCTGCTTTCCATGAACAAGTTTCCCTTGGGAAGTATGGTTACTTTCTCTACCCCTCTCTGTGATGCTGTACCCGCACCTGCAGAGCGCAGTGGACTACTTGCCAGTTCATGTCTCTGTGTTCTTTCTGCAGGTCCTTGTGGAAGATCCTTTTCCACATGGCCTGGCAGTTGTCATCAGGGAGTAGGTCCATGGTCAATACCACATTCAGTTTCCTCACTACCACCTGTATTTTGCATGGTTTGTTAGGATCATTGGGCCTTCTTTCTGTAGTTCACACTTGCCGCGGAACTGCTCCAGGGTTCTGCAGAACCATGGCGGTTCCCAGGCAGCTAGGTTCATGAGTGGTGGTATGTGTTCCCTGCAACATTGTAGCATGCGACCTGCAAAATACTTCACAAAGCAGCTGTTTTAGA